AAACTTTGGTGAGCCCGTGTGTGGGTACCACGCCTACCCGACGGCTGGGTTTGAGCTGAATGAGACTAAGTTGGGCGGGGAATATCTTCTTAAAATTACAATCCTTTAGCTTTCAAAATACTCGAATTATCAACTTACCCGAAAAAAATTTTGGCGGGCCCATACGTAGGTACCACGCGTACCTGGGGACTTGAAGCTCATTAAGATATACGTGGACAGGGAAGTTCTCCGTAAAATTTCAGCATTCTAGCTTCTCAGATCCCCGAGTTATGAACTTACTCGAAAAAAATTTTGGCGGACCTGTACGCGAGTACCACGCTTACCCGGGGGCTGAATTTGAGCTCATTAATACCTACTTGAACGAGGAACATTCCCTTAAAACTTTCAGCTACCAAGCATTTCTGGTTCTCGAGTTAGCAGTTTATCCGTAAAAAACTTTGGCAGGCTTTTACGTGAGTGCCACGCGGGTAACGGCGCCCATTTCGGGGACTGGGGCCCGTACGTGCATGTAGGTTAAGTTCCCAATGTTTCAGTCCTGCAGCTCTTGTAGGTCTTGAGATGAAAAACCGTGACAGACGCACAGACACACACACAGATAACCCCTAGTCTATGCGTTTTCTGCATTGCATAGCTGCAAAAAACGCATAAAAATAACGACGCGCACCAATTGGCGAAGCGATCATGCGCTTATGAGGAATGTCACACAAACCAAAAACAACACAAGGCAAGACCTACTCCCTCCCCACAGCTCAAAACATAAGTGGCGTTGCCGGATCACCAAGCTTACAAGCAGGAATCAATACATAATAAGATACGTGATAATATACTGAAGTCAGAAATGATGGAACTAAATATCAAAAGTCCAGTAGGACATACAGGGGCCTGTGTTTCATCTTTCAGCTGTGGTAAATTAGACGCTCAAAATCCTGAGTTCTAGCTTCTTTTGTTTTCGAGCTGTAAAACTCTCACAGATTCAGACTTGAAAATGTAGAAAAAGATGTCAATATATTTTTTTTGTTTTAAATAAGAAATTACTGTTTGGATTTAAGCAGAATTATAAATGCTATTTGAAAAGTAGATATTATCTATGTATATTGATTTAATTTCAGCAGATGGCTGTTGCGGAGTCCAAATGTTTGTACACAAAATCTCAGGCTTGTATTCCTGAATAAAATTTGAGTGGCCTTAGACCGAGATTAAAAGTCAGGATTTAATGCAATTTTGGGGTGGTTTTAGTCACTTGACCTTTCCGGAATTATAAGATTGTATCTTCCCCAGATCTTGAGCCTATAACATGCATTTAATTTGAAGCTAGGTGTAAAGGTTAGTATTTCCGAGTTCCTAGCCTTGTACATAACCAGATGTTCTTCTTCACTTATTTGTGGGTTTTGCATCGTAAAATTTGTGTGAATTCGGGACCTTAATTTAAAACAGAGTATAGAATGACTCGAAGCTGATTCCTG